ATATACCCAAAGGATTATAAATCATGCTGCCATAAAGACACATGCACACGTATGTTTATTGCGGCACTATTCACAATAGCAAAGACTTGGAATCAACCCAAATGTCCATCAGTGACAGACTGGATTAAGAAAATGTGGCACATATACACCATGGAATACTATGCAGCCATAAAAAAGGATGAGTTTGTGTCCTTTGTAGGGACATGGATGCAGCTGGAAACCATCATTCTCAGGAAACTATTGCAAGAACAGAAAACCAAACACCGCATGTTCTCACTCATAGGTGGGAACTGAACAATGAGATCACTTGGACTCGGGAAGGGGAACATCACACACCAGGGCCTATCATGAGGAGGGGGAGGGGGGAGGGATTGCACTGGGAGTTATACCTGATGTAAATGACGAGTTGATGGGTGCTGACGAGTTGATGGGTGCAGCACACCAACATGACACAAGTATACATATGTAACAAACCTGCACATTATTCACATGTACCCTAGAACTTAAAGTATAATAATAATAATAAAAAAGAAAGAAATAGAAAAAAATTCCTAATATTTATATGAAACCACAGAAGAACCTGAATAGCCAAAGCAACACTGAGCAAAAAGAGCAAAGCTCTAGGCATCACACTACCCGACTTCAAAATTTATTACAAAGCTATAGTAACCAAAACAGCTTGGTACTGGCATAAAAACAGACATATAGACCAATGAAATAGAACAGAGAACCCAGATTTAAATCCACACATTTACAACCAACTCGTCTTTGGCAAAAGTGCCAAAAACATAAAATAGGGAAAGGGCAGTCTTTCAGTAAGTGATGCTGGAAAAACAGTATAACTATAAGCAGAAGAATGAAATGAGACCCCTTTTCTCTCACCATACACAAAAACCAAATCCAAATGGGTTATAGATTTAAATCTAAGTCCAGAAACTATGAAACTACTAGAAGAAAACATTGAGACAATGCTCCAGGCCATTGGTCTGGCCAAAGACTTTTTGCGTAAGACCTCAAAAGCACAGACAACCAGAGCGAAAATAGACAGCTGGGATTACATCAAGCTAAAAAGCTTCTCCACAGCAAAGGAAACAACCAAGTGAAGAGATAACCCACAGAATGGGAGAGAGTATTTGCAAACTGTCTGTATAGTTTGGATGTTTGTCCCCTACGCTTCATGTTGAAATCTGATGTTGGACGGAAGTGGGGTCTAATGGGAGGTATTTGGGTCCTGGAGATGGATTGCTTAATGAAGGGCTTAACACCATCCTCTCTAAATGAATGCATTCTCACTCTATTAGTTCCCGAAGAGCTGGTTGTCAAAAAGAATCTAGCACCTCCCTCCCCCTTTTTTTTTGCTTTCCTCTCTTGCCATTGGATCTCTGCACATGATAGCTGCCCTTCCATCATGAATGGAAGCAGCCTGAAGTCCTCACTAGAAACAGATGCTAGTGCCATACTTCTTGTACAGCCGGCAAAACTGCAAGTCAAACCTCTTTTTTTAAATAAATTACCCAGCCTCAGGTATTCCTTTATAGCAACATATACATATGGACTAAAATGCCATCTGACAAGGGATTAATAACCAGAATATGTAAGGAACTCAAACAACTCAATAGCAAAAAATCCCAAATAATCCAATTTAAAAATGGGCAAGGCCATTATAGTGACTCACACCTATAATCCCAACACTTTGGGAGGCCAAGGTGGGTGGACTGTTTGAGTCAAGGAGTTCAAAACCAGCCTGGGCAACATGGCAAAACCCCATCTCTACCAAAAAAAAAAAAAACCAAAAACCAAAAATTAGCCAGGAGTAATGACACACACCTGTAGTCCCAGCTACTCGGGAGGCTGAGGTGTAAAGGATCGCTTGAGTCTAGGAGGTGAAGGTAGAAGGGAGTCAACATCACGCTGCTACAGTCCAGCCCGGGCAACAGGGTGAAGCCCTGTCTTAAAAAAAAAAGTGGGGGAAGGATCTAAATAGACATTTCTCAAAAGACATACAACTGGCCAAAAAGTGTACGATAAGATGCTCAGCATCACTAATTATCAGAGAAATCCAAATCAAAACCACAATGCGATATCATCTTATACCTACAGTAAAATGGCTTTTTATCAAAGACAGTGAATAACAGATGCTGATGAGGATACGAAGAAAGGGAAACCCTCAAACACTGTTGGTGGGAATGTAAATTAGTACAGCCACTATGGAGAACAGAATGGAGGTTCCTGAAAAAACTAAAATTATAACTACCATATGATCCAGCAATTCCACTAATAGGTATATCTCCAAAAGAAAGGAAATCAATATATCCAAGAGATATTTGCATGTCTGTGATTATTACGGCACTGTTCACAATAGTCAAAATGTGGAATCAACCTAAGCGCCCATCAGTGGATAAATGCATAAAGAAAATATGCTATATATACAAAATGGAATATTAGTAATGAAAAAGAATGAAATCCTGTCATTTGCAGCAACATGGATAGAACTGGAGGTCACTGTGTTAAGTGAAATAAGTCAAGCACAGAAAGACAAATACCACATGTTCTTATGTGGGAGAGTTAAAAATGTGAATCTCATGAAGATAGAGAATAGATTGGTGGTTACCAGAGGCTGGAAAGCGTAGAGCTTGGGAGGTGGATGAAGAGAGGTTGATTAATGGGTACAATATACAGTTAGATAGAAGCAGTAAGGCCTAATGTTCAATAGATCAGTAGGGTGACTATAGTTAATAATAACCTATTGCACATTTCAAAATAGCCAGAAGAGAGTAACTTGAATGTCCCCATGGTAAATAAAAGATAAATATTTAAGGTGATAGATATCCCGAATACCCTGATTTGATCATTACACATTATATGAATGTATACAGTTACCACATATACCCCCAAAATATGTATATTATGTATCAATAAAAATATTATAAAAAGATAGCTATAGATAGGCTATAAATAAGTGCAAACCAGTGATCATGAATATGTTTTAGGAGTTCAGGGAAAGAAAGAGAAATGTAGGCAAGGATGATCTAGGAAGATTTCACCCAAAAGGCAGAACATTTTTCAGTTAGGGTAGGACAGCAGGAGCTAAAATGCAGAAGTCAGAAAACAGGAGTGTAGCCATGAGAGAGATGTGAATGGCTGAGAATGGGAGACAGGGTCAAGGACTGGGAGTGTGCCCACAGCTGAGCACAGGAAGCTGTAAATGGTGGACTGAATGGATAAAAGCAAATCCATTCCTTGGAGGCTTTTTTTTTTTTTTTTGAGACAGAGTCTCACTCTATTACCCAGGCTGGAATGCTGTGGCTTGATCTTGACTCACTGCAACCTCCACCTCCCAGGTTCAGGTGATTCTTGTGCCTCAGCCTCCCAAGTAGCTGAGATTACAGACACTCACCACCATGCCAGGCTAATTTTTGTATTTTTAGTAGAGACGGGCTTTCACTATGTTGGCCAGGCTGCTCTTGAACTCCTGACCTCAAATGAGCCACCCGCCTCGGCCTCCCAAAATGCTGGGATTACAGGTGTGACCCACTGCACCCAGCCACGCCTTTTTTTAAAGCAGTACTTCCACCAACAAAAATCAACATTGTCAAAAATATTAACCAACAGCCATAAAATTAATGAGGACCGATGTGCATTCTGGGACTTCCTCAGATGGTCAAGAGGCCAGAACAAATCACATGTCTGCCTATAGTTGTAAAAATATAAGCTTAACTACTCTGCACTTTGTTTCAGCACTAACTCCACACACACACCACGGCATGCTATTCTTGCTTCTTTGCCTTTACTCAAGATGTGCTCTCCTCTAGGAAAGCCTTTTCTTTGCCTGACAAAAATTCAGTTCAGACACCATCTTCAAAAACGTCTGCTCCTCACCACCAGACTGCGCAGTCCTCCGAGCTGCTCTCTACTGCTGTACCTTCCCACTGTATGGAAACTCTGGTCACCTGTTTCAGCCTATCCTGGGGCAGACAGTACCTGGCTTACCTTGATGCCCCTAGTGTTCAGCTGTGGTGGACACTAATAAATCCTAAAAGGCCATGGCATGCTTCCTTGTGACAGCGGAGACACTCACTTAAACAAGCAGTCTTCCATACCACATCTCCAGAACCTGATGTTAGGGTACTTTTCCTCAACTGATATTCAAGACTTGTTCTTTGTTGCTGTTGCTGCTGTTGGAGGTGAGGTTACCAGCAGGCTTTTAAAATATGTCTACACCCTGGGGCCTCGATGCCTGTAACTTTGGCACATTCTGCATGCAATTTTCCATCATTTTTGCGTTGAGGGTTGTAGTTTCTGGATCCCTTGCCAGCATCACTGGTCCTGGCATGGGCACAGTATGTAGGCTGTAATCAGATGAACTCAGGAGTGTGCCTCGTAGCTTGCATTACTGGAGGCCATTTGGTGCTATGCTCAAATGTCACCTCCTCAGTTTCCCTGACCACTCAATCAAAAATAAAAATAACTGGCCAGGCACAGTGGCCCACACCTGTAATCCCAGCACTTTGGGAGGCCAAGGCAGGCAGATCACTTGAGGCCAGGAGTTCAAGACAGCCTGGCCAACATGGCGAAACCCCATCTCCAAGAAAAATACAAAAAAATTAGCCAGGCATGGTGGCGGTCACCTGTAATCCCAGCTACTTGGGAGGCTGAGGCACAAGAATCGCTTGAACCCAGGAGACAGACATTGCAGTGAGCCGAGATTGCATGACTGCACTCTAGCCTGGGTGACAGAGCAAGACTCTTGCCTCAAAGAAAATAAATAAAATAAAATAAAATAAAATACAAATAAAAATAACCTGTCCGTCACTCTCATTCCCTTTTGTTACTTTATTTTCTTCACAGCATTTCACACTATCATAATCCCAATTGTGATTTCCACACCTTTTATACAGCATTTTATTAACATAAGAATTTTTATAAAGTTCTTAATGTGCTACAGATGGAAAGCCAACTTTTTCTCAGCATTTCACTGTTTTCCTTCTTTATTCTTAAAGGAGGATCCTCTGGATCACATTTCGGACATGGAAGAAGTTTGTAAAATTTATGAAAGAGGAAAGAGTAAAAGAAGAAAGGCGACAGCAACTTCGTAGGAAGGTAGTTGAAATTCTTCCAGACTTTCAGGTGCCTGGAAGCGACCATGAGCTGTACCAGCAATCAGATACTTGGTCCTTGAGTAAGACAAGTCTTTTGTGAACCAATGAACCAGATTAGTGTAATACTTAGGACAGGAAGCTCGACTGGTCCATAATATGTGTGTTATCTCCACCCACCCATACACATACATACATACACCTGGTTTATTCTCTATGAGCTACTTCTTAGATCAAAGGAATTATTTTGAGAATTTTTATTTCCTTCTTTGACTTTTCCTGCATTGCTAGTCATTCACTGTAGCATTTATCACAGTGGGATCATCCAAAGGAATATTCTAGAGATCCTCTGTTCAAATATATCCTATATATTTTTAGCATAGTAAACTTTAAAAAAGGACAAGTGTTTGCCTGACTGAGCCTGTGAAGAAAAATGTGTCCATATAGCTTAACATGAGTTGTTGATAAATGTGACCTTAATTAAATAGAAATAAAAAGTAGTGAGTACTTAGAAAAGGAAAGGAGGCCAAGGCAGGCAGTCTTCTAGTACATTAGCATCACTGACAGGCACCCTACCAGACCTTGTCCATTTGAACCACCCCGATGGCAGACCATGCCTGAAGATGTTCTCTACACTGCTGCTGCAGAGGATGGCCGCTTATCCTGATTTCAGAGAAACTGAGTCCCCAGAGATACTTCTCTTCCGTGCACCTTGATAAGCATGCAGGAAATTCTAAAAGGTAGTAACTCTATCATGACAGTCCAGCAATTCATTAAATTATCTGTTCACGCTCCCAACCGCAACTGCTGAATAATACACTCAGTTTGTCTTCTAGTACTCAGCTCAGTTTGATCTAGATACTGAGATATTTATCTTGAATTCAAAGAATGTTTTCATCTTTAAGGTGCTATAAAGACTTATAAAATGCTCTATGAACTGTTAGAGAATTACCTGCTAGAAAAATAATTTTTCATTATAAAATACATGTTTATTATGACAAATTCAAGTAGCCCATAAGTGCATATGGTAAAATGAAAGTCCTGTGCAGTCCTGAGATGACTACTCTTATGGTGTGCTGAAAATTTGAGTTGGCAAAATAAAATTCTGTGGCTAAGTGAATGTTCTTGGTATTGTCTCGTACTTCCTCAAAAGGATATCTAGCTGCACCACCTGCTACATGACTTAGATCCTTTTACCATGGAGGATGTGTGATATGACCCAAACACCTTGAATTGAACTTTATTTATTCTATGATGTGCCTGTTCCCACAGCTTTTCCTTTAACATGATTATACAGTTGTCATTTTAAAAAAATGTTTTTCACGATTAATGGCCTCTAAAAATGTAACTAAAAGTAATAATATATCACTTTCCACCAAAATCACTATCAGTTTATACCTAACTACAGTACATTTACAAAATATTGGCTGATATTAGCACCTGGAAACAAAATACCAATTTTATTTTTTTTGTTTTGTGTTTTGTGTTTTTTGTTTTTGTTTTGTTTTGAGACAGGGTCTCACTTCAGGCTGGAGGTACAGTGGCCTGATTATGGCTCACTGAAGCCTGAACCTCTCAGGCTCAGGCAATCCTCCTACCTCAGCCTCTCAGATAGCTGGGATGACATGCCCAGCTAACATTTTTTATTTTGTATTTTTTTTTTTTTTTTTGGTAGAGATGGAGCTTCGCCATGTTGCCCAGGCTAGTCTTGAACTCCTGGGCCCAAGTGATCCTCCCAGCCTCCCAAAGTGCTGCGATTACATGAGCCACCACACCCAGCCACCAGTTTTCTTTAAATGCTAAGCCTGTACATAAGGAAAGGTGACTTCCTTAAGTAAACATGCCAGGAGCCTAAATAAATCCCACAAAGCTTAAGTTTTCTATCTGAGCTTTATTTTTGCCTCTCCTCAAACATCAACTAGAAATTGAGTCTTTAGCAGCCCATATTCCAAGTGAGCCAGTTAGACTTTTTATGGAATACAGAGCCTTCTAAAGAGATACAATGGAAATAGTTTTGATGCCGCTTTTTGCTGGACTATCATGAAGGTATATTTCAAAGTGTTACTGCTAACATAATATATCCCAACATAATTGATACCCAACAAGCAGTATCCCTGACCCACAAAACTGGAGAAATTGCCACTGGGAACATAACAGTTTAGGGCTAGGGACAGATACACAGGATAGGGACATCGAGGGAGCCAAAGAGGCAGCACAGGTATAATGCAGGGTTTTTGGAAATCAAAAGACTTCAGGAGACACTCCAAGAAACACCAGCTATTTTCCTTAAAGAAAGCACTTTATTTTCCATTTAAACAACTTGGTCACAGGACATTATTTTACATAAATGGCAGTAATTTGTAAAATTTCCATGTAAAAGGCCTTGTGTCTGAGTCTGAGGTGATAAGAGGATATGAATACAAGTATATAAAAACAGTGCAAAATGTTCAGCCCACGGCCTCCGGAGTTGGCTTCAGAAATCCCCCTTAATGTTGCTAGACCAGTTACATTAAATATTAAATGTAACATCAGGTAAAGATTCCTGGGTTTTCTTTAGTCTAACATCCAACCCAGATATGCAATAAAATGAAAAGCTCAAAATCCCTAACAACTCAAACCATCCAATCACCCGGACCATTAGGATCACAATGAGTTGAGATTGCAAGCTCTATCATGTGCCATCTTGTTAGTGGCCCATCTTAAGAAATACAGAATTTTAGTTGCATCAATAACTAGAATAGACTAGCTCTGCTTTTAAAGCTTTGCCTTTTAAGTAGAAATTTCTAGAAGTTCACTTTCAAGGTGCCATCAGGAAGGCTAGGCCACTAATAAGTCACAAGCCCAACCTGGACATCGCGCAGCCTCTAAGACATTTGTCTCCACTAACCGTTCAGTCTTTAACCTGCTGCTGATCCTACAGTGAAACACTTAGTGCCAGCTGAAGCGTGGATGCTTGTCTATCAGCAACATAATTAAGTGTAGCTGATACTGCAAGAAATTTATATTAGTCACAGCAAACAGCCACAGGAACATACTGAATTGTACTTGGTAGTGAGTTTAGAATGGCTTTCCTGCTCCCCTGCATCACCTTCAAAGTGTTTAATACAAAAGGGTGCACATGTCAAGCTGCCACTGACAAAACCAGATTCCAAACAGGTGCCTCAGGAAAAGTCTCTTACTATCCATTGCTTGCTTAAGAAACCTCTACTTTTCAAAATGCAAGGTACCAGAATATGGCTACAATGAAGTCAGGGCATATAAACTTACCTAGGTTAAAAAGACCCTTAAATCTCGCAAAACTTTAATTTTTAAACATCCTGGCTAAAACTGTGCTTCTAGATGTTATATTTTTGCTTATACTAGTTTTAGCTTTATAATAATAAGCTAATGTCCTACTCAAAGGAAATACATGTCTATTAAGCAGATGGTCAGTAGTATGTAGAACCTTACTGGCACTGTGTTTTCTGGCAGTGGAAGATTCTAGTACAGAAAATTGTCTCTTGCTAAAAATATTAGAAGTACCAAGGACTATTGCATAAAAGAAAGTTTGTAGCAATTTTTTGCTAGGCAGATGGTACACTTGAAGACAACAATTACTTCATTCACCAAGGAAAACACTACTTAGCAAAGATTTACAATATCCTAAACACAAACACATGTGTGGCTGAGGTGAAATAAGCAGCACGTTGTCCCGGAAACACACTTAAGGCTTCACATTAGCAGCATCAGGGTAACCTATCAAAGAGGCGTTATTAACCGTCAGTTCATTTCAGGAACGCTCAGCTGGAACCATAAAAGTACTCTGTGGGTATCATAAGAAACATATTAAATATTGAAGGATTTTCCTCTTTCATGCAGTCGTGATCCTTAACTCTTTCTCCCTTGAATCTTTCAAATCGGTGTATTCTTCTCCCCCCAGGAACAGTCCACAGTGGTGTGATAATAATCTAAGTGGCCAGATGATAGTAGGTAATTTATTAAACTCCATATCCAGTATGTTCATTAACAGAGACTGAGGACGTGAGATAAGAGAAGAGGGCCTGCTTGCTTCAAATCATGTTCAAGGGGCTTGCTCCTCTGCCCAAGAGACTGCTGATTTATAGGTTCACAGGACAATCCTCCACTACCACCACCAACAAATGCTTCCCTGGGATTGATTCATTCAGAGGCCTTGTCCTTTCAAAGATTCCACAATAAACTCACCTGGCCTCTGGAGAGAACCAAGGCCTATAATGAAACCCCTCAAATAGTTCCAGATCATAAAAGGCTCCAAAGTCCTATAAAGCAAAGATGTCGCAGAGCCTACAGAACACTGCTCACGGATTAGCCCCTTGTTTGCTGCTCCTTTCGGTACAGACGCCTGGGAAGGCTTTTCCCCAAAAAAATTACTGGTCTTTTGACAGGTTTAAGCATTCTGTAAACTGTCCATCATGGGTTCGCAAGGAACTTAAAACAAGTATCTTCATGCCAATAAACCTGAATAATAAACAGAGAGTCCCTTCCTATCCATGGGAAGGAAGCTGAGTTGGCTCATCCAAGTAACCCTATTAGAGGTAAGTTGTTAAAAAAAAATGGTGATCATTCCTAATTCTCCAAATGACTTTGGTCTCTTTGTACTACTCATCTTCATCACATCACATTTAGATTGTTGTGATCAATTTGGCAAGAAGCTAAAGTTACTGACTATACTAATGTTTCTATGAATTTGTATGATCGACGGCTAGATCATCAGAGTTGGCTCTACAGCTGACATTCAAAAGCACGACTACCCATTTCTGCCCACATATGCTATCCCTGACATTATTACTATCTCTCTTATCTCAAACCTGTACAGAAAGAAATTTGTTACATCAAATCCAACTTTAATTCTAGGTGAATATTCAGCTCTGGGCCAGGGAGAAGGCATCACTGTACAAACCTCAGAGTCTGCTAACATCCCCAGGCACAGAGCCTAACATTCGTTAAACAAACCATCTCTGGGG